TGCCTAAAAGGTCACAAAAGTAGGTTAATATGCCTTTCAACTGTGCCCAGTGAAATGCACCTTGCTGATTCTACCTCAAAGCTTGCAAACAGTTCAGCTTCATCCAAAGGATCCAAAGAAAAGTTTTAAGCTAGGAAGCTAGTGGTTTCACCTGTAATAAGGCCATGAAATTCCCATCTCCATCCAATAAGATACTCAAGCACCCTGGGATTCCTCCCCTTGCCATGACTCCAAGGCTTACCCAACGTTTCCATGTTTTCTCATGCTTTTCTTGCTGTTCATGTACATGCCTGACCTCCCCCCAAGACAGAGCCGCAGTCAGTGTGCAATCCAGACAGCTGCCATCCAGTGTGCCTTGGTTTGCCAAGGTTTTAACACGTTTCAGTAACAGAGACAGGTTATACTGAGGCACTTATTTGCCAATCCCAATCCATGTCAGACTTCCCCTTCAATTTCACACAAAGTTAAGTTACTCCATTTGACCAATTTTCACCCGATCCCACTCTGCAGCACCTCCACCTGTACCAACAGCCACATGAAAGCTGTACTTGGCCATCCAGCACAGCAGTCAGCATGGAGACAAGATCACACCGCTCTCCGCACTGCACCCAAGACGACCCTTAGATTTGCACAGCAATAGGAACTGCTGGATAAATGCAGTTTTCACCTGCTGCAGTCAGCATGATGCAGCTGATATTTTACCTCATTCCACCATTTCACAGTTTTCTCATCCTTTGAATTGTCTTACCAAAAGAAAAAAAAAAAAGCCAACAAAACCATCTCTTGTTTCTTGAGCCCGTCTCAAGTTGCCAGCACAGCCATCACACAGCCGCCTCAGCAAGCAGCAAGCTTTTTTTAAATCCAGCTATTTCCCAAAGCAAAGAGGGGAAGCCAGGTTACAGGACATCACTGGCAAGCTCAGCACTTTAACAAACACGAAGATAGAAAGTATCACCTGAAAGAACACAAAATTCCCGGAGGAAATAAAAAGTATTTCATTTACGGTGGGGTGGATTGATGGCTTCAGGCAAGCACTAGGCTCATGTCTTTAGAGCCATCTCAACCCTTTTTCCTTCCGCACAAAATCCCCTTAAGTGCTCTTTTTGTTCTCGTCTAGCTGAAGGTGCTAACATTCTCAGATCCCAGGTTCTGCCTTCACCCACACTGCTCGCCCTCCCGCTCCGCAACAAGGATGTGATGGAAATCCCAAGGCACTGCACCAAGCAAGAACTCTGCTCTCTGTAACTGAGAGACCTGGAGGACATCCTCCAGAACAGCACCAGCAATGACTTGCTCTGCAGCCCAGCTATGAACACTGAAAGCAATTTCTTATGGGTTTAAACCAAGAGGCAGGGCTCCCAAATCAACCCCGTGCTGATAAATAACACAAGCTACGCCGGTGGAATATAAAGCAGCAAGGCTGAATTTGCATTCAGCAGGAATAAAGCAGGTAATTTATGGGAAGGGCAGCTGGATAAGTCAAGGGCCTACAGATGCATTCTGCAACTCCTCAGCCCAACTCGGACGAGGCAGCACAAGCTCACAGAGCACAGGCTTACAGCAAGCTGCACTTCCACTAAATCCTAAAGGAGGACAACGGGGCCAAAAAGAGAACCAAATAATACAAGGAAGTCTGATTCTTTGATGCCAAGGACTCAAGCCACCATTCTAGGAAACCGAGCACCAGGTATTACCTAACACAATTACAGTAATTCTAAATAAAAGCCTATTTTAGACAACCGCAGATAGGAAGCAGATCCCATTTCTGATTCCTGAACTCGGAGATTTGTTGCAGCTAAAAAGCCAGAAGGATTGGGTTGCCACTCCATTTGGCATGGAAAATTACAACTTTATAATTAGGAAACAAGCAGAACAGCTTCCACAAGCATTCTCCATTTTCTCCTCGTAATAAAACCTCTCAGCTCAACCAGCAGGGAGACATATTTAAAACTTGCTTGACCCTTGAATTCCTGTTCAAGTCAGAAAAGCTTTGTAATAAATAAACAAACAAACGTAACCTACCAGCAAACAAACCCTGCACTACAGCACAGCTGGGGGGACCAGGAAGGTGGGAAAAGGTTTAAAATGCTCAGACATTCATTGCTCCTTCACACCGCATGGATGCCACCCACAGGGGAAATTCAGATTTGAAATCTCACCGTTTTAAGTGCAGTTTACCCTCTTCCTTGCTGGAAATGGCAAGGAATTAGGAAAAGTGGGCAAGCTGGGGGCAAAACAATGCTTTGGATCTCGTGCATTAGGGGAAGAGAGACAAAGGTTTGGTTGGGCATTTCAAACTCTTCAGAACTCCTTACATAAATCAACAGAAAGGAGTGAAATTTTAACGCACAGTGACTGAGGATACAGATGAAAACAGGAGACCAGTTTCATTTTGAGCACCTTTAACTTTTGGAATTTCATCCTTTGTCTGGAAAAAACACAATCACTGCACCGTATAGAAGTGGGACAGAAAACCAGGCTCAGCACAGACCTGAACTCCAGCCCCAGCTGCCTGCACAGGCACCTTTCAGAACTTCACACTCAGGCAGTAAAATTGCAGCTCTTCAGAAGGCACTGAAACAGCTTCATGTTGAAACAGAACTCGAGGCAGCACGGCGATGATGTGCACAGGTTCAAGGGGAGGAAAAAGAAATCAGCTCTACAATTTGAATTAGAGTAAGGAACATTTGGATGTGACCAAACATAGCTCCAAAGGGCAGGCAGGAGAATTCTCCATGCACAGTCCGGAGCTCATCAGCCATCCTTTGCATGGGAAACTCAACTGAGAAGAAGCCCAGCAGACAACTGTAGAACGTGTCTTTGCCACAGAGAATCATTTAACTACTAATGTAATAAGCACTAAAAATAGTAATTCAAAAGAGTTAAACTCTGCTTTCATTCTGGTTCATTCCCAGATTTCAATTAATAAGATATCAGCATGTGTATTTACCATATGAGGAAATCCCATCTGAAGATCTCGTGGTTCAAATATTCTCAAGCCAAAGATTTAACATCACTGCAATCACAGCATTCCCTCTCCCAACGACACCCCCCAACTTGATTTACTTTGAGAATTTGCCTTTTAAGACAGCATTTATCTAAGCTCAGATACTTGGCTTACAAAATACAGACTCTACAAAATAACTCAAACCAGGATTTCTCAGGAAGCACAAGGTGCAAAGGACATGCTATGAGCACTGATAACCTTCCTTAAGCTGATGCGATGGGTTTCAAGAGTGACACAATCAGAAACAGACTCAGAGTTCAAGAAGATGAAAAAGTGTCCTCCTCAGTTGATTGATTTCACACATTTTACATTGTTTTGGTAGCACCTGTATAAAACAGCAGCTGTGCCAGCGCCATTTTAGCTCCTTCATGCTCCATCTGAGTATTGTCTATTAAAGCAAAAGATCCTGGGGGTGCTCTAGAAGAGAACTAAAGCTGAAACTGGAAATTGCACTGTCTGCATAATGCTGATTATAAGAGCAAGGTTTTATTAACACATCACCACAGCTCATTTACCTCTTGTAACCAAGCCCTTTCTTGCAGTAGGCCTGGATAAACCACACTCCAGTTGCCCCACTCAGTGAGCAAGCCTTCAGGTGTGTACAACAGCCACCACAACACACAAATAACGGGGCAGCTGCCACAGGTTCCTACCTGAAGTCCACCCAACTGCTGAGTCTAGCACAGTACTGGAGATCCTGGTCAGGTTTCTCCCGTGCCCACTGCTCTCCGTGACTAAACATGAGAAATCAGAAGACAGCAAAAGCTTATAGCACTCACAGGACTTCTAAAGAGCTTGTGCTTTATCTCCCCTGAAGAGTGATAAAATCACACACCTCAACTGAATTATTCTTACAGTATATTTCTGCATTCCCTTAAAAGCAGCAAGTATCACCACTGTTGTTTTACATGAAGCCTGCTTGTTTTCCTTCAGTTCTTTCTGTGTGAGGATTTCTGCTAATGCAGAAGTCAGGACAGTTGGTTGAACTCCTGACTAATAAATCCTGCAGCAGGTCTCGTGCACAAAGACTTCAGCCAGGCCTCCTGGTCTAACATTCACAGGTGAAATCAGATGCTCCATCATACCAATCCCACGCACAGGTGCCAAGCACAGCTTTGCTCCAACAGGCATAGAATCTTGATCATAGGCATTCTTCACTTTCCACTAGAAACCAAAGATCTTCATCCTGTGCCATATAAGTGGTGGGATCACCAGGACCTTCAGCCTCCAGAGGAAAGGATAAGATACTGCCTCTGAAATTCTTACAGTTGAAGCAAAGGATTGATTACTCAACCAGTCTTCATGTACAGCCAGACACATTCTTAACCTAACTATATTTGAACGGTCTTAAAAAATGTCAAACCACAAATTCCTGAGCAGTACCAACACCAAAGCAATTACAGCCCTAGAGGCACGCCGTGTTACAGGGGTTCGGCAGGCACCTCGCCAGGTGGGCCGGGCACAGCAGGACGGCTCCGCCCTTACTGCTGGGTGCGCCCAGAGGAGATGAGACCTCCAAGGCTGCACCCCCTCCACGTACAGCACCAAAGGGAAAACGAAGGCTTTGTCCCTTGGGCGAGTTCATCCCGCCAACACGGCGCAGCCGGACTGCGCGGCTGCAGAAGGCAAAGACTCCAACCCGAACCCTGGGAACACCGCACAGGGCAGCGGTGTCGTTCCGGCCGGGCTCGGCCGCCCCGCACGCCGTCGGTTCCCGGTTCCGCACAGCTGCGGAGGGACGCGGAGCTCGAGGCGGCGCTCCGCCCGCCCGTTCCGGCTCCGTTAGACGGCGGCACCGCGAGGCGCCAGATCCTGCGGAACCCCCGGCCCTACCCCACCGCCCCCCGTGGGCCCTGCCCCTACCGCCTTCCCCCGGTGCAGGCCGCAGCCGGGGCCTCCCTCACCGCCACCCCGCGGGAGGGAAAAGGAAGCGGCGGGGCGCGGCCGCGGGGCTGGAAGCGGCGGATCCCGGCGCTGCCCGCGCGGCGCTCACCATGGCGGCTCGGCGGGGCTGCGCTGGGCGGTGGCAACGGCGGCGCCTCCCGGTCCGCTCCGCTCCGCTCTCCCTCCTTCCGAGGCAGGCCGCGGCCCTTCCACTTCCGCCGTTGCCTAGGAGTGAACATCCGGGTCAGCGCCGCGCCGCCCCGCCCCCCCGCCGCAGTCCAACCAATCAGAGCACGGCTCGCCGGCCATCGCCAAGTATGGAGCGCTGCGCGCGTACGGGGCGGGAGAGAAGGGCGGGAGGAACCATTCCGCGCCGCAGCGCGGGGGGAGCAGCGCCAGGCGCTACCAACGTCAGCTCGGGGGTGGGGAAAGCTGAGACCGGAAGAAGCGCGGCCAATCAGGTGCAGGGGGCGGGGCCTGCGGGAGCGCGCCCGCGCGCCGCTATCGCGGTTCTGCCCGAACGCCTGAAGCCGCCCTAAGGTGGGCGGGAGCGCAGTGCTTAGTGCTGCAAAGTGCTGCTTGCAGGGCTAGGCGTGCTGCGGTTATTCCTCTATTCCTTCAGTCCCAACGGACAGGTGATGAGGAATAGTCAGCTTCTGGCTAATTAAGGATAAGGGTAATTTGAACAGCAAGTGTCCAGCTTGCCTGGGAGCGTAGCTTTGATTCTGTAAAGTGTGCGTGTGCCTGCTGGAAGGTGAGCAGGTGCTCGCACGTTTTGGTGACTTTGGAGCTCAAGAAGCTGATACACATCTGTGAAATAAAATCAGTGTGTCCGGGCGTACGGGTAAATAAAACACTCCTGCTTTCCTCTGACTGTCCTTGGAAGAAATCTCTTCCTAAAATACTAAATTGCCTTTCAGTGATCTCAGGTAAAACCAATCCCCGTTTCTGACTGTCGTTCCAGTGCAGAGCACGTCTGAGTCAGTAGTGGCACAGCTCTCCGCTGCAGCTTTTTGGGAGCAATCTTTGGGGCTGTGCTTCATGAGAGCTTTGTGCCAGGATCCCGAGAACCCTCTGCTGGTGCTCCCTGGCTCCTGCATTGCAGGCTTGGCCGTGGTGAGCCAAAAGCCCAGCTCCTGCTCTGTTTGCTTTCCTTCTTTGCTGTAGAAACTGGAAATGCTGTCAAGGGGAGTCATGCATTGCTTCCTGCTCTGATGCAATGGTGTGAAACCACAGCCTGTGTGCAATTGTAATAGGACTTATGTATTCTTAAGTGAACTGCTTCATTTTCTCCTGGGAGGTGACATTTTGTGGTACATCCACCCGCCAGGAGATAGCCAAGGCCAAGCTCTGACTTTCCACTAAAACATTATCACAGATGTTTTTGGTTTGGCTGTCAATTTTAGTAGCTCTCAGATACCAAGCAGAACCTTCCAAGAGATGGCAGCTGGGGCTGTGCTCACTGCACTTAACAACACAGGGCAGAACAGCTGCAACTTTCAGCTTCAAGGCAAGAAGCTGATTTCCAGGGATGGCACATGTTAGCACGAGGTGGAACTGCTGGAGGTCATGAATTATAAAACCCAAACTGTCCTATCTGTTGATGACTGTTACTGTTACCCATTTTTCCAAGTTAACCTTGGCCTATATTTGGTTGATTTGTTTGTTTTTTTGTTCTTTTTGGTGAAGAAATAAAATGATTCTGGGAGGCAAAGAGTGGAAAGCAGAAGAATGATAACCTCAGGAAAAAAAGGAGCTATGCTGCTTAACAAACAAAAGCACATGAAAAAACACTACCAAACAAACCCTAGGATGGGAAATAATGCCTAGTAGAAAGGCCACATGACCTCAAAAGGCATTTCCTGCTCTAGAGTCTCCAAATTCAATTCTTTGCCAGTACTATTCAGCCTAACCTCCCTGAAGCCAGTTTGTAACTTGCAGCAATCCAAGCTCCTTCTATTTCCCAGTCCCCACATCCTTCAGTCCTTACATTCCTTCAGAGGTTCCTACCAGCACTAATTAAGAAAAGGCCGCCTTCATTACTCAATAGATTATTCCTTCCTTTTACAGGGTTCCACACGTCTAATGTGCACGTTTTCCTTGCAGCAGGGTCTGGGACAAACACATGCTCTAAACTTCACAGCTTTTGTCACAAAACTCATGCAAACTCCTCAATGACTGTTTTGCTTTTAGGTCTTACAGTTAATGAACAGAAAAGGTTTCTAGCTGCTTGCTGAAGACAGAGCAAAAGCAGATTTATGTAGCCTGCTATATTTTAATTAATTTGAGATCTGAATGAACGTTGATGCCAAGAAGATGTTTTTCTTACTTGAAGAAATACAAGCATTCTGGAGTTTGTTTTCCTGCTAATAGGTATAAAGCAGCATAAGCAGCTGCTTTTTGTTTTCCCAAAAATATTTGCATTAAGAAGATCTGCAGATTCCTTTTGAAACTGATGTAACGTCTTTTCAAATGAGGACCAGCTGCTTGCTTTGCTTGTTTATAGCAGGACATGCTTAAGGGAATGTTTTTGTTTGTTTATTAAGATGTAGGAGCAAGCTCTTCCTTGCAATCTGCAGTGTGGAGATCTCAGCTGGCAGAAAACTCAGTGTATGCAACTACAGTTGTGGCCATCCTACCTTCTGTTGCAGTTCTTGGAGAGGCTGACACAAAACAAAGCTTATTCAGTCTGTGGCTGGGGGACATTCAGTAGGTCTGAGTGCTGTGAGGCGGCGTTAGCTGCACTCCAGGCACGTCCCACACCTCCCAGCATGGAATCATCCACCTACAGCCAGGAGTGTGCTCAAAAGGCTCAGCAGCAGGCATTATGCATCTTAGAATGAGGGCCTATAAACAAAGGAAGCAAACAATTACGTTAGTTGGTGGCTTACCAGCCCTACAACATCGGATTCATGTGCAACTAATAAGAAGGCTTTTCATCTTTTAATCAGCAACTATAAAATACATATGCTCTCCCTGTACTTTTGATTATATTCAAGGAAGCAAAAGGATAAATACTTCTTTTTTAGCATTGTCACGTTTAGCCAGAGCTCCTTCAAACACGATATGCTTTTTATTTTATCCTCCTTGCATGTGTTGCATGCATGGTGAAACCCTGTTTATTTTGTTTATTCCAGCATTTAGCCAGGACCAAAATGAGAACATGCTTAGAAAGCAGGTCCTAAAGAAAGCTTTAACGCTTCACCAAACACTCATTTTTCCACCAAAGAAAAAGACATCTTAGGCTTCTTTTTCTTTTCTTTCTTTCTTTTTTTTTTTTTCAGTCAGATTGCCCATTTTCTTTCATGTCCAGCTTGAGGCACTTGAAAGATATGTAAACTTTTTATTAGGGGTTCTCATAAATTGAGTTTACTGCTGCAAGAGTCTCCACTTCCAGCAGTGGTAGAGTTTAGCTTGCTGGTTTGTATTAGTCAGTCTGTAAACCAGCAGCTTCACTTGATTTGAGACTGAAAACTGAGCATTTCTTGGAAACTAATATAGAAAAAAGGTACCTGCAGTGCTACCCAATGGTTTGGGATTTCGTATTCAAGCCATAGATAGTTCTCACTATGGAGATCTTTGCACACATTGTCAAAATAGCTGCACAAACAATAAAAACCGCCTCCTTCCCAGTCCAATTCCAAGGCAGCTTTGCTGAGGGTACTCTTGCAATACAGTACAAGAGCTGATGAGAAAATCAAAATACGGTGTTTGGTAAAAAGCAACATGCTGTCCATCTGGAGAGGTCTGAGGCACTCCTCCTCCCATGCCAAGAGCACTAAAACAAGGCTCCAAAACGAGACTCTTCATCAGCATCCAGGCAGATAGACTGCCTGCCTTAGAGGTTCGTTTGGATTACATAAAAGGCAATAAATTTAGTGGCCTGAAAGGTCCATGTAGTTGCTTATTTCAGTCCAGGAGTACCTGCCCACCCTCATGAGTGCCTTCACAAACACCTTGCAGTTGTTTGCAGCCACACTCTTTCTGTGTCCCACAGATTTCCACCCAGTTGTGTTTCACAGAGTGCGTGATGCCAATGGGCAAATGTCAGTGATACATCTGAAACCTCACCACACAAAACCCAGCAGGGCCTGCTCACAAAAGGACCACGAGGCTTTCTTTAAATATCAATCCCAAAAAGCAGCCTGCAGAATTACCGAGATTGTTTTTCAGCACATGCCTCTTCATTGTGTATTCAGGGATGCTGTTTACTTCTGTGCTTGTGATTGCAACTTTACCTTCATATTTTAAGCATAGAAAGTGCAATAGGAAAGACCTCTCAGAACTGTCTTTAGCCTGAGCAAAGAATATAGAGAACATTCTTGTCAAGCTTGGTCATTAACTGCACTAATAATGCCTCCAGCCTGTCATTAAAAGAGAAACAAGGAGAAGCTGATTAAATGCACCAGAAAGAAACAAAACTTTCCATTGCTTTCTTTCTTCCTTGACACGTTGCACTTCACTGGAAGCGTGCTAACATACCAGCCAAAAGAGTTGTAAGGGCTTGGATTCCTTCTTAATACAATAGTCACGGTTCACTAGTTAGAATCTGCATGGAAAAAAAGTGCTTAAAGAGCTGAGGAGGAGTGCTCTCTGCAGGGTTATTCGTTAGGCAGTCTATCAGCACAGAGCAATAGCACTTTTTCAACAATCAAACTAAAAAACGGATCACAAAGTAGCAGGCATCCAATGGAGGCGTGTTGTAGCGGTGCTGATTCCCGCAAGGGAAAAAGCCAAAACACAGGAGTTAGCAAAAGCTCAGATCAATCTTTCCATGCAAAGTGCTTTCCTTCAGGTTCCTGAACCAAACTTCGTATTCATGGCAAAAGCAGCTTAAAGCAGAATTAACACAACGAGCTGTGACACGTCTTGTTCCGTTTTTAAAGTTCCACTTCTATCAGCTGTGGCTGACAACTGTAACCAGCACTGCTGGATGGAACTGAATGTAACATTACGTCAGCTCTGCAAAACTGGCATGAAAATACATTAGCACAGACACAGGATGGACTTATTAATGTGAATGTGATCACTGTAAAGGGCTGAATGATCACTCTGCATCACAAGCTGTGTTTCCTAATGCAGTACCTCAGCCCTTAGCCTGTTGTTCACCCCCACGGATCTGAGTGCCTTCCACATAAAATCAATAAGAATACAAAGTAGACTTAATGGAGCCTCTGGCACTTTTCCCACTTGAAGGCAATGTCCTGCTGAAGAGGGGTTTCTTTCTCCTTGGAATTTGGATTTAGTCTTCTTTTTGTTGTGGCTCGAGCAGCAAGGAGGCTTTCCGAGAGGAAAATAAGCATCAGTATCTGCTGGCAAACACTGATGTGTGTTCCTCACTAAGTGTGAAGAAAAAATAACCAAAGTGGTAACCAAGAGAAGCGTCCAGCCTGGGTTTCATTCTCTCTGTAACATGAAAGAAGCAGTCTGAGAGCAAGTGGGGACCCACTATGGCTGTGTCAACCAATTCAAGCAGATAACTCCTACGCTGCTGCGTTCCCATGCAGATTACTGCTGCTCTTGGCAAAAAAAAAAGTGTGTGGGAAGGGATTCATGTTATTTAATAAATATGCGAGAACTTACATGTGTATTCCTTGGAAAAGAGGAGTTTGGGAACACATTTATGCCCAACAAGGAACTGACAAGAGAGATGCTATAAGATTGTTTGAAAACACGCCTTGCACCAGAAGAGGCGATATACTCAGCCCAGGCAAAAGTCAGGATTTAAAAGAAAGTCAGTTGTAGTTTTGTAACAAAAACGATTGAGGGGAAGGTGAATTTGTCCCATGTTGCATTATGCACAAGCCAGGGCAAAGGGTGAAAAGACAAGTAACAGCCTCAAGGGCTTGAGCTGTGGTTGGTGTAGCAGCAGGGAAGCTCTCCACCTCTGGGTACAAGCAGGGACTGTGCCTTCTGCAGGCTTCTGTGCAGCTTCTTCCCTAGGGAAACACAGTGCTTCCCAGCTCTGTCTCCTGATTGTTTGATGGCCATCTGTTGAACAACAACCCAGTGTATTTATGTCAATCCCTAATGTTTAACTGTGGACAATCCTATTATTTTAATACTTTAAGTGAGGTATACAATTAAGTCAATTGGTGATAGAAGATCTGAACCCATTACAGTTTGATTTCCATCAGAGAAAGGTAGGGATTTTTGAAGCTTCTTTCAGTGCTCATCCTCCTCTATTTTTGCATTTTTATTTTCTATGCTGACAAAAAGACTGGAAAGGAAGGAGAAGAGAGTGCAAGGGAAGAAGGGAGGGAAGGTAGCTCACACCAGACTGTGAAATGTAAAACAGGTTTTTCAAAACTACGTGTTCTGAACATCACCTTGGAGTCATACAATAATAAATACTCCGTATTAAACTCAGAGGGTCTAATTGCCAAGTTACTATAGCAATGGGGAGAAAAGGCTGTCTTTGGACACATTCTCTCCTGCCTTAGTTTTCCCTTGGGTAAGCAGGGGAGAAAGGGTGCAGAGAATGTGTTCTAGATTGTTAATGGATAATATTTTCCAGAGACCTCTCTCATCAGTCAGTGACTCCAGGATTTAAAAGAAGCAGACATTTCTCAGAAGAAATCTGGACATCCAAAACAATTACACTGAACTATTCCATCTCCTTAGAAGGGATTTAAAGCATCAGGTTCCTGACACCAGGCTGTCAAAATACTTCAAGACGCATTACAGAGCAACATGACCCTTTATAAACCGTCTTACAGCCCAACAGCTCACCACCACTTCCTTCATCCGTGAAGAAACAGCGCATTCCAGCAACTCGAAAAGCCTGAAAACGAGTAAGTGTGAAGTGAAACTACACATTGGCAATAACAAATACCAGCACAGGCCAAAGAGAAGACGGTATTTCTGGGTTGTTTTTAAAAATGTTGATTGCTAGAATTTAAATTGGGGGGGAAAAAAAGAAAAGAATTATCTGGATGCTTCAAATATCTTTTCTCTCCTAATATTTTTCAGAGCTGAGTGTGCCTGGAAATAGAAGGGTGGAGCTGGCACACTGGGATGTACCACAGGATCAGCAGTTTCAAAAACACTCCTTCATCCGCTCAGGGAAAAAATTGCTTGATGCTGCTGGTATTTTTATAAGCAATTTGATGCATGGCTCTATTTTTGATACTGACCCCAATGTGAAGTGATGCGAGTACAGTGGATGGGAAAGAGGAGAAAATGAGACTCCCTTTACAGGGAAACAAGATTTGCCTTCTCCAGTGAAAGCTTTTAAAGCTGCAAGGGTTTGGTTTAACCGTGTGCTTTCTAAATAAATAAATTAATTGTTAACTAAGTATAACTTCTGTTTGTAAGAGCCAGTTATGAACATTCCATGCTTTAGTGAAGGAGTGAAATCAATGCCTCCCACCATTGCTTTAGATCAAGAACAGTTACACCTTGAAGATAGACCAAAGTACACAAACGATAACAATAAATAACTTCAGAAAATGTTCACCCACTTTGGAAAGTTCTGACATTTATTTATCAGCTTGGTCTTTCTCTTTTTGCCAGTTTTCTAAAACAAAACCTTCTCCTCCCTAAGTTGAACTTCATCAAAACAAGTAAACACTGTTAAAAATTCATACTAACTTATGATAAACACCCTTTTTTTAATTTTTTTTTTAAATGAAGCTTCTAGATTAAGACTTATAGAAAAAAAAAGTGCTACACAGCACACATTACAGTAAGCTTGAAACTATTTACACACACATCCCCAGTTCCACAGCACTGCAGCCCACTTCAGGCTATACCCTGGTGATTCACTTAAGCTCATAATTCACTTAATAACTCTCCTACAAATCCTCACCCTAATGCTGCTGTAATCACGTCCTGAAGAGCACTCTTTTCTTTCTGATAATGCTCAGACGTTTTTCTCACATAAGGAAGCAGGCTGTAGGGCTGAGGCTGGCCTTAAGTAAAGGGGGCAATGCCTAGGGTAACACTGGGCTGGTAACTGCTGTTTGTTCACACCTGTGCCTCATTTCAGGCCCTCAGGAGATGCTGAAGACAGGAGCTGTGCAAGATGAAGGTCCTCTGTGACCTTTCTACTGTGGAAATGGCTGTCTATGGGATGAAACGAACTCTGACAGGGCCCTACAACAAAAAGGGCTCTTACCGAACTAGAGGTGGGAGCCCTGAGGGGAGCAGCTCTATGTGGTGTGCCCTGCCTGTGGGGGGATCAGGATGCTGCCTGACGGATCTGTGTCCTTGCAAGGGCACGGCAAGAGCCCTGGATGAAGAGATAGGGCCCAGGAGGGGCCGGAGCTTCGGAGCCGGGCACTGCGGGGAAGAACAGCCCTTTTGAGGCTGGAGACTGTGGGGAGGAACGGCCTCGAGGCAAGGAGCCGCCATCGCGCCTTCCCGCCAGTAACCTTGACAACGGGTCGACTGAAGTCTCGCGACATATCCCTTGCCGCCTCCAACCCGCGGCGGAGAGTCTCGCGAGAATTGCTGTGAGGAGGAGGAGGCGGTAGAGGCGCGGCCTGACGTGGGAGGGGTCTGTCAAGATGGCGTCGGAGGGCGAGCTGGGCAGGAAGTGGGATCGTTGTCTGGCGGACTCCGCCGTCAAGCTGGGTAAGGGTGGGGAGGGCCCGGCACAGGAGGAGGGCCTGGGGAGGAGCGGCGGCGGCTCGGTGTGTATCTGGGGCTGTGCGTGCCGCCGCTCGGCAGGCTTTGCGCTGCGGCCATGCCCGGCGGGAAGGGCCCCGTGTGGCCTTGTGCCACCTGAGGGCCAGGGCCTGGCCGCCGAGCGGCGGGCGGAACGGCGAGGGGTTCCGGAGCTCCGCCCCCACCGGGAGGGCCGAGGAGCGGAGCGGCTGGAGAGAACCCCGCAAGGTGACCTTGGCGGCGGGCTCGGACCCCCGCTGCTGTGACCCGGCCCGGCTGATGGCGGAGGGTCGGGTTTGACCTCTGCTTTGACGCTCCTTGTGATAAAGGTGAGCGGTGTCTGTGAGAAATGCTGTCAATACTGAGCCCAGATGGGCTGCGTTGCCGCATCCGTCCCTGCCACCACCTCGGTTTTGCCGTGATGGAAATTTGGGTTTAGAATTATTTGTGTGCGAGGTGGGCTGCGTTTATTAAAAGCAGTAAGCAGCATGGCACACTGATAGCTTTGGGTTGTTCCGTAGTGCAGTGTGCATGCTTTGACATTGAGCTTTGCATCTGGCGTTCCGGCTCTGCACACAGCTGTGTCTCTTCTTAAAGCGTTAGAATGTCTCTCCTTGTTTTCTTCTCTGCTAGGGGGAATGGTTTTAAACTGAGATGGGGGAGGTTTAGGATAGAGATAGGAGGAAATTTTTCCCCCGGAGGGTGGTGAGGCACTGGAACAGGTTGCCCAAGGAGGCTGTGGATGCCCCATCCCTGCAGGCATTCAAGGCCAGACTGAATGTGGCTCTGGGCAGCCTGGTCTGCTGGTTGGCAACCTGTACAGAGCAGGGGGTTGGAACTGGATGAGCACTGTGGTCCTTTGCAACCCAGCCCATTCTGTGCTTCTATGACTGTATGTGTGTTTGAAGAGATTCACGTGCAGGAAACCACTGATAAGTTTTCACATTTATCTGGGAATTCTGTGAGTGAGCAAAGCTCATTTGTGTGGTTTGGTGATGTCCACATTGCTGTCTGAATGAGAGAGTGGTTGTGGCTTTGTGGAGGAGAAACATGGTGATGTAGCACTTAAGGACGGGGTTTAGTGGGCAGTGTTGATGGTAGGCAGACAGTTGGACTGGGTGATCGTGGAGGTCTTTTCCAACCTGAATCTGCAGAAAGAGTGCATCAAAGCAAGTCTTTAAATGCTCTGTACAGAGTGACTTGTGTCTGATATGGGAGGAGTGGGTGCCCTGTTGGTGCAAAAGTCTTTTTTTAGGGACATAAATAATATCTGAGAAATGTGAGTGTTTATCTCTTGTTGCTCTAGTGGCCTTAAGCTTGAAAGCTGATGAGGAACTCGGGGCTTTAGTTACCTAATACTTTTCCATTAGAAAAGATGTTTAATAATTTTGAGTAAACTGAAACTTCCATTGTTTATAACAGGCCTTTGAAAAGTGTCAAGTACTGTGGAGCAATGTTTTGTCTTCTGAAATTCTATTCAGGTTTGCCTGACAAACATATCCAGATATGTTTATGTTTCCATACCATTGGTTGCTTTATCATAAAATATTAAGTATGCCAAATTATAAACAAGAGCTTGTTCCATGCTGCAGCTGTACATGCAGGGGTCCTTTATGTGCAAAGCCTCCTTGGGAGGCTGAAAGAAGCAGATTCAGCTTTGGTTATGATGCAGCATGCCTCTTTATCAGGCCTTTTGTTTTCAGTTGGTGTTTTCTTCTATCCAAAAGTGGTGTTGGGGGAAATAAGATGTACTTAGAATTTCTGCATTAGAGCTCAAGAGTTCCTGCTTGTTATCTTCACAGTGGCGTTGAGGAGAGGTTTAAGTAAAATTCAGGTTTGTCAGTGGGGTGTGTCAATGCGTTGCCTTGGGATGGTAGATAAGCTGCACTCTTTGATTTTGTCCTCGGCTCTCCTTCTCCTCGTGTGCAATAGATTTTGTTGTTGTAGATACTGGATTAAAAGAATAGCAACCTCTTCTATGGCAGTAACAGCAGACTGATTCACTGTGAGCTTTGAAAACTGTAACACCCCAGAAAGTGCTTCCTATTGCAGTTGTTAGTGACAGAAGATGATGCTGGCCTTGGAAATGGACGTGGCTTGGGCAAACTGTTACGTGAGTACTGGCAGCACCAACCCAGACTATCTCAGTGGGAGTGATTACTTTCTGTGCAGGAGTTCAAAACTTGCATGGTTGTGAGGACTTTTTGTAGCGTTACTTTTGGGTTGAACTCTCCAATAAACTCTCAAGGGTGGTTGTTATAATGCAAAGAAAATAGACGAGCTTTTTCACTTGAGAAGAGCTTTTTCACTTGAGAATTTTGTCAGTTATGTGAGATGTAGGAAGGGATCAAATCCTCACTTCTTTGTGAGTGCTGGCTTCTGTCCTGTGTGTTCCATCACATCCCAAGCACTAGAGCAGGAAGTACCTCTGAGCCAGTGGCTGGGAAGAAAGTGAACCTCATGGTTAGCTCTCCATTTTCCCCTTTTAGGTACTGTAACTAAAGATGGACATTCAGTTTCTGAAGCTTTGCAAGCCTGACAGCATCTTTTCCAGCATCTGTGAGAACTGTAGCGACCAATTTCACTCTGTTTTAACGTGAGAGATGAAGGTACAGAGGTAGCAGAGGAGAGTACCTTTATGAGCACAAGTATTTTGTTAAATGATAGCTGAGGGCCATGTGCAGCCTGTCCTGTATTATTAGTCTGTTAGACTTCCCACTAGTTTCTTAAAACTGTGTTTGGCTGTGCTGTTTGTAGTTATGCTGTGCTGTTTTAGTTGGAGATGTCCTGCTGCTAAAACGTCCAAAATACATATTTATCTTAAGTTGTATCTTTTTTTTAAATCCAATATTATATTTTTGACCTCCTGCTCACTACTTGCATACATCTTGTAATTCAGTACTAAAAATCTTTCTTTTTTTCCTGTACGAAACAGACCTGTTGTCAGGTCTAGTGAAGACAGTATTTCATTTCAAAGAGCTGGCTGCTTTAAACCACTGTGTAAAATGTCCAAGCGTGGTTAGTGGGGCTTGTGTGCTGTCCTCCTTTTTAAGGAGACTGATGTTTATTTTGCTAATGATGAGGATGAGTGTAAATCTGGCTGCAAGCACAGTGTTCTGTGCACAGCGGGCTGGTTTGCGTGTCCTCTGCTAACGATGCAGATCACACCGACTTGGGTTTTGCAGAGACCTCAGCTGAATTGCTTCCAACCCCGCTGTTTAAAGGGTTTTGGTGGTGGTTTTACTTTCTCTTTGCTTTGTTTTTTTTAACTGATAGTTTTTGCCTCTTTATTTAGAAAGGCCGCTATCTGTAAAAGACTGGCAGAGTTGTTTTTCTCTGTTAGGCTGTAATTTTGGGCAGTGGACAGAATGTGCTGCTTTCAGAGCAAAGAGTGTGTATGTAAGTGGAGGTGGAGTTTGTATGCATGCGTGTTGTTTTGTTTTGGAACTGTTGTAGTTTTACAGGATTCAGTGCTGTAATTTACCTGTAACCAAAAGGTAATCTAGGAAACCTATTTACTTTTTGGCTTGTGTGTTAAGTTGCTGTGCTGACATCAGTTTATTTTTTGCAGAAGATGAATGTTTTGAAGTCTGTCTGTGCTTGACCAAGATTCAGCCTGGAAGCTTGTGAAGAACTCAGCATCATAATGTCCATTTTCCTCTAATCCTCTGTTTTGACATCTGAAAATAAAATGCTTCTAATTCCCATTTAATGGGGATTTTTGAAGGGAAGAAGGCGCTTTCAATTGTCCTGCAACTGTTACAGGATTTCTTCTGGCTTGCATCATCTTGCCTGCTTGAATAGCTGTCTCTGTTAATGGCAAGGGTAAAATGGTATTGTTTGTGTCATTCCCCAGATTGAATTTGTCAGAGAGAGTCGTTGTGTGGATTGTGGTGTCAGTATTTTTAAATAATCCTTCACATGGTTATGAACAGGACAGAGTCAGTCTATATAATGATAAAACTTGATTACACTTTCTGAAAACTGGATTAAACTTTGTCTAAATATACAAAAATCCTGAAATTCCTATTTTGAAGTTTTTGTCAGGTTTTTTTTTTTTTTTTTTTGCTTGGCCATTGCAACGTGCCATTTAGTCTTAGCTACCAGGACAGAAGACTTGTTTTTCAACTGGGAATTTGGTTTTAATGCTGGAGGACACAAACATTATGCGTGCACTGCATTACGATGGGCACTGTGATTTGTTTGTAACCCCAGCTGCTTTTCCTTTGTCTGTAAGGTGGCAGCTGGTGCTGTTTGGCTCGTGCCACCGTGGCAGGGAGCTGCAAGCTGTGCTATGGGGAGCCCTGCTGGTGCCTTCCTCCAGCAGCTCCTGGCCATGCTTCTGGTGTGCCAGGAAGCCCTCAGGAAGAGCTGCGATGCCCACGTGATACTGCAGCCATTTGAAACCCCCTGACTTCATAAGATCTCCTCTGCTGGAAGTGAATTCAAAGCACACCGACTTCCTCATCCTCTGCGTCAGTGCATTGTTCAGGTGCCAGCTGTGCCTTTTTGGGAGTTGGCACAGGGGGACGCTGCCCAGCAGAAGGGGCTTCCTGCCAAGCGGTGTCCTAAATCACTTGTTAGGTCCATGGGATGTGACAGCATTTTGTGGGAACAGCTCCTTTGAGCTCTTTGAGACTCATATTTAATTCTGTCTAAATCAGGGCTGCTTGTACACATTTGATAAGAATAAACTGTTAGCAAGAGATTTGAGAAGAATTCAGGCTGCTTTTTGGAGCCTTTCTAGTACATGTTGCCATCTCTGCTTCTTGCTACATTGCCACTGTCCCTTAGACATCAGTAATGGTGGATGTGAAGGAGTATGGCTGTCAGAGAGTGCAACTCTGATCTGTGTCTAAAGGCTGCATGCAGTATTAAGAAGATCCTTTCTGCTGGCTGAATTATTCACAGAGCTGCTTTTCTCTTCTCTCTTTTGTCCTCTGTAAGAGGGAAGGAGGAAACGTAGTATATGCTCGTTGTCTCATTTGCCAGTGTGGGGATGAAGAGTTTCTTCTTAGGCTCTGAGATTGAGCAGCTGTGACCGTGTAGGGGATCACAGACTAAACTTGATACTCCCTGCTGCACTCAGTCTGTGTGCAGAAGTGCTGATGTCTATCTAAGGTTTGCATCTGGGCAGCAGTTAAACTGCAGGAGTGCTTAAGGGTGAAAGCGGCCCCTGAAAGCATGTCAGCATTTTCCTATTATATGGCTGTTTGGGTATTTTTATTCTGTCTTCCCAAGTATTCTGTGTTACTACAGTCAAATGCTACAAGAAAACAAAACACTCTTTTTCCGGCTTCTTCCTCGAGCGCTCGGGGTCTGGTTTCACTGTGTTTTCTTCCAGTGTCCTTGCTCGTTTTTCTGTCTGCAGTGTAAACAGCCCACGCAACAGGGGAGATGAGAATGAAAGCTTGAAGGTTGGTGTTTGAAGAAAATCTGACTCCTGCCATGAAAGACCTAGCAAGGAGTCTGCTTGGAATTAATTTTCTCTTGGTGGCTGCGTGCTCTCAGCCTTCAGCTGGTGCTCAGCCCTGCCCTGCAATGCTCCAGCGTGCAAAGAAGGCTCACTTCTGCACAACAGTTACCTGTGTACATTGTCCAGACCTTTTTTTAGGAGCAAGAAGGGGGGAGGTTAGGATGGGACACCCTACAACAGGAAGGATACTTGGCGAGCAGCCTCTTTTGAATACTTTAATTTTTCTTAAGTGTTTAAAGCAAATTCTGTTGCTGCTGAGCTGCTGCTTGCTTGATTCTCGGGCCTGTGGATGAGATGTGCCACGAAGCCTCAAAGCTGTTGCTGTCACAGAAACCAACTGAGCTCCATAGATTTTCTTGATCGAAATGGGAAGGTTTTAGTTGGGAAGAAATCTCTGGTAGAAAAGTCCTTCACTGCTTCTGTTGAGTCTGGTCTGCGTGGAGGTGCTGCTTTGTTACAACAAGAAGCCAAATTCCAGCAGTTGCTTCCTCGTTTTACTGCAGTCACTTAGAAGAACTAAGTGTAAAACAACAGAATTGTAAAAAAAGCCTGAAGCTTTGTGCTTGGGAGAGGAAAATCATCTGATGACCAAAAAAAACCAACCCCAAACTATTAAGTAATTGAAAACCTTCCAGCTGCTATAGTAACGACGACACATTGCCAGATGTCAGCAAGCATTTTAATCCATCTATCTTAAAGCTTCGAGCCATTGGAGGAAAGGCTGCCTAGGTGTGGCAGCCTTCAGAGCTGCTTCAGCCTGCAGCTACTTGGGTCGCTAGAAGGAACTGCGTGGTGTCACTGCTGGAGGCACTGCTGGTTAAACTTAGAGAGTCTCCTCTGGAGATGTTCAAGACCTGCCTGGATGCCGACCTGTGCGACCTGGTGTGGGGAACCTGCTTTGGCAGGGGGTTGGACTCGATGAGCTCTGGAGGTCCCTTCCATCCCCTACAATTCTGTGATTCTGTGAAAAAGCTTTTCCCAGATGTTCTGGGGGTAGAAACCTCCCCTGAAGATCTGTGTTTCTCTACGAGACGCTTGTATGATGTCCTGTTGGGTATGCAGCGCGTGCTGTCCTGCGTGTTACATTGATCTGAGATACCGTGACGGTTTTTTTGGAAGGTGTGTGAGCCAAAAAAGCAGAAATAAGAGTTTCCAAGAGCAGCTTCACCTCACACCAGTTCTGTGTGGCTGCGCCCGTCCGTGCAGCCGGGGAGCGCAGCGCGGTGTCGGCAGAACCACCCTGTCCTCTGCTGACACTGACTGTAAATGAGCTTAAGCTGAGATGATGGATGGAGGGTGGAAGAGGCTGCTTTCCTAGTTAAACATTTTAAACTGTCAGAGGAGGTGAAAAATGTGTTGTACCCTTTCCTGTGGCCTTTTCTTCCAAAGAGTCTGTCATGCAAGAGAGGGAGGCAAAATGCGCCCGAGTGTGGCTCAAGCCCTTGGCTTTTCTGTTTCGTTTGTTTTTATTGTAAGGTAAACCTTTCGTGTTTTATTGTCCTGAAGCTGGAGCCTGGCCTAGAGGTGCTGCTCTGTAGCAGGAACAGCTGCAGGCCCAGTGTCCCCTGCTCAGGTGGGAGGCTCCTTGAAGCGACGTGTTGCCTCTTTAAAAGGAAATCGAGCATGTGAGAACTTCAACCTGTAAAACTCATCAAGGGCTGTGCCATTGTTTATCTCTGGTGTAACTTTATATAGAATTAAAGCAAAATGCATTGCTTGGCTTCCAAGAAAAGATGGTTCAGCTCCCCCCTTGTCTTGGAGACGCAGGAAATGACCACATAACCACAAATACTTTCTAGTGGAACGAAGATGAGTGACAAACTGTCCACAGAAATAGATTCTTAACCAGATGGGCTAAGAAGTGAAATGTAGCTCAAGCTTCTGGTTTGAAGTTAAAACCAATGTTTAAACCAACCAAGAAAAGAGCAAATGTTATATAAGCAGTGGCTACATGAGAGGCAGATCTGAGCTCTTCTTATTGATAGGGGTGTTGGGGTCAGCCACAGCTTTCAGCACAGCTTGTTGCTTTTCCTAACCAAGAAATGGAATGAGCCTAGCTGCTTTTGGCAATGGCCATGGTAATGAACAACTTCTTGGGCTTTGTTTCTCAGGTTTCCTTCTTGTGCAGAAAACAGAAAACACCCTCAAAACGTTACCTGGCAGATGTGTATTTCTCTGAAGTGTTTTCATTACTTAAAGCGAGGCCCTGGCTAATTTACCATCATTTTTCTTAACCAGTCAGCCTCTGTACTTGCCTTCCTGCCCAATAGGATGGAGTGAGAGCATCTGAAACTCACGCTTTGCGTTTTAATTGCGAAGAAAAATGCCAGGAGGAAGCAGTGCTGATGGTGTCTGTGCAGAGCCCTCACGACTGGGGTGTGATTCTCACTTCTGAAGGAGGGAGGTGAAGAGAACTCCAGATAATGAACATTTCTGAATGTGGTTGGAAAGAAAATGTATTAACTGCAGCTGCTTCTGTATTGTAGCCTTTTTAAGACAAGAACCTAGCAGGTTTACCACCACACTGGTAGGAGGAAATGTGGGTTTGACTGGTAACAGTGTCTGGAAAATGTGGTGACGTTAGGAACTGCTTGGGCTGTGCGTTGAGATGATGCAGAGTTTGTCATCCTTTAAATCATTTCTCATTGATTAGCTAAACTGTTTGAATTGGCAGAGGGAATCTTCTCTTGGACTGGAAGCGTGGGACTGGTGTTGCTCACTGCAGGACAGGCTTCTGAGCGGGCAGTTCACACAATCAGTCCTGAACGGGCAGCCCTCCAAACTGAATGCGACTTCCTCAGAAAGTGGGACTGTGACCCGCAGCACAATAGCTGCAAACAAAAAGGCAGTGTGTTGGAGGAAAAGGCAGCCAGGAAGGCAGGCCGGGGGGCCGGCAGTTGTCCGCTGGATGAATTCTTGAAGATAGTAATTATCCCTAATAGCATAAACATTCTGCTAGAGCCAGCACCAGCTGTTTTATAGCAAAGGTGCAGGAGGAAGGCTCTGCTTGGGGAGGGGGAGCGGAGGGCTTAGCAGGGATGGACTGCTGCTCTTCCTAATGCCTGATGTCTCTTCCAGTCCGAGCAGAAATGCCAGTCGCATCCAGACACAGGATGAGTAGTTGGCTGTTTGTATGACGTTCCCCCGAGTACTGCATCTCCTGCTGTCTGAACTGCAGACCTGCGAGGAGCCGAGACTTTTTTCTTTTAGCTGTGCAAGTGATCAGAGTGAAAGCCGGACCTTCTGTGAAGGGCTGGAAAGCGGCTGGGGGCGTTGTGTCAGCACTGCTCGGCAGGTGGGCACAGTGCTTGTCTGCCTGGGGCTGTGATGAGCTGCTGAAGCAGTTAGCTGTGGTGCAACCAGAGCTCGTGAAAACGTGTAGGACAACGAAAGGAGTTTGCAAAAGCAGCTCTGACTGCCAGCCCTTGGTAAATATGGACAGAAGTGCTAGTGGGAGTCTTACTCTATGGTCATCTCTTCTAGTGCTTAAGGCTTGTTAATCAGTGAAAAGCATGGGGTGCTTAGTTAACATACTAGTTAGTGCAGTGAATGTGCTTCAGTAATCTGTGCCTGAGCCCCCGTTGGTGGATTTTCTGCAAGGAAAAAAGCTTTCGAGAGGAAAAGGAAGGTTAAGGAAAATATGTATTAAAAAAAAAAAAAAAACAAAACCCACTTAAAAAAGACCTTTACTCCTATATCAAGAGGGCATAGGATGCTTTGGCATTGCTCTGGGCACAGCCCGCTTAGTGATGCATTCAGCAGGAGCTGAAATGAGGGCCATGTGCTTTTAGGACTATTCAGTGGGAAAACAGAAGTATTCCTAAGATAGACTTCTTGTACTGAAAGAATTCAGACTCTTAGCAGGATGTGTTTGCTGCAAACCTGAAGCTGCTGGGTATTTTTTAGTGAGCTCATGCATGCGTGACTGATTTATTTTTTCTTAAAAACATTCTTTTCCTTCTGCACCTTATCTGAAATTCTTGTCTTGAGTGGATATAATTAAGGGTAGGATTTAGCTGCTGAACTCAGACTTTTCACCGTTATATTTATTTTTATATTGAGAGGAATTTTGCAGACTTGCCTGAATTCTTACAAAAAATCACACGTGCGCCTTCCAAAGAAAGCAAAATGATTTTTAAATACGCCAGCTGAGTTCCCTAATGGTGCCGGGTAAACGCTTTCAACTGCTGCAGTTATTTCTATATATAGGATAGGGATGTGAAAAGCCACTC